CAGGCTGTGCTGACTTAAATCTACTAGGTCCTCTGACAAGTGACACCATTCTCAACCCTGACTTGATGTACCTTTAACATCTTTAAATCTCTCACTCACCCAGGCAAAAAGCAAATAAACGGTGGCTTTATATCAACATTGGATGTGCTTATGGTTAACCTACATCAGCTGGCCCCACTGGCTTGACACTTTCATCTGAATACCATGGCCTGCTAAGTAGTCCAGCTCCAGCTCTATTAGTCTTACAAACAACCTCTAATTAGCTACATCTTTAGTATGATAATCTATTCCATGCATGTCTCTATCTTACCGAAGAAAAGGAAATGTTTTCAGTGTGAGTGAAAGAGTACAGGCTATGATAAGTCTTCCCTAAAGAGAAAGCTCAGCAGTGCGTCCCAGCATCCCAGAACCACCCCCCTCTTTACCTGCACCAATACACCCACAACCCTCTGTATCAAGTTCATTTTACTTCTATCTATAGCATCACCTGCTATCAGCGCACCGGCCATCAACAACCAGCAGGCAACCAGCAACCAGCACCAGCAGCATGCTTTAGTACCAGTGCAGGACGTATTGTGTCCTTCAGCAAAACAAAACATAAGGGCATGGAGGTCAGAGTGGAGCAAGAGTGTGTAACGAGTTTGTCTTTAATGCACATTATCACAGATCAACAATTCAACATTTTGTTGTTTCTTTTTTCATTTCTATGGATTAAGTATAGATCTGGAGTTAGGAAATAGTTAGCATAAAGCAAGCAAGCAGGACAAACAGCTAGCCTGCCCATGTCCAAAGTGGAAAAAATACACCTACCGATACATCTAAAGCTAAGTAATTGACACAATGGGTTTCATTTATACAATTTGTAAACAAACAGAAATGTAAAACGAATAATTTGTGCTGCATGTCTTGAACAGTTTATGTTACGTTACTTATGTACACTGTCTTTCGGTAGCGCATTGCCAGATAAAAGCAGTCACTAAAAGTTTTGATTTTGTTGTTGGTAAAAAACCTGGCATCCTCATTGTGATGATGAAGGTCACTGTGCCTGTGTGCTCATCAATAAATAGCTCGAGCATGTAACTACCCTTAAAACCACACATTCCAGTTAATGCATGAAATATCCAGCAGCTTGCTGGTGAGAGACTGGTAGGTGCTTTTTTTTTTCACATTGAACAGATGTTTTAATGTGGTTTTCTAACAAAATAATGAAATCTGGTTCAATAATCTCAAAACAAAAATATTTTTAGAGTCAAACCACAGCAAGTGAGTATATGTACATAAGATTTTCAAGACATTTTTCTAAGCAAGCATCCTCATGTTTACTTCTGCTGAAAGGAGAATTGACAAACATTTCCAAAAGTCAGACCGTCATAACCATGGATAGGTGTTTTTGCTGTGTCAACCCTACTCTGTGGGTTCTTTTGGTAACAACACACTAATTTTGCTGCCAGTATCAAATCATCTGAATCATCCTTAGAGTGTGTTGCATATATTCACAGCAATTTGGTCTGATTTTGCAAAATCTTGCTCTGAACCAAATCTTTTGGATGGATGTTATCACAGATGATATCACAGTTGGTATATACAGTTATAGTGTATATCAAGTCATTAAAAGGGGAGGAGCTGTCCAATTCAGACCAACAGCATGCAGACTGTTGATTTGTTTTATGGGCCTATTCCATGTGTTGTGTGACAATTATTATGCTACTGTTTCATTACAGTTGTCAGGCCCTGGGCTTTCTCTTTTTCTGAATGGCTAATTACCCATTCTCATGCTAATAATCACAACTCTATCTGTGCAGTCTCACTAATTAGTACACTTTTAAATTCCGAGGAAACAAAGTGTGTCACAACAAAGCGCCCTGAGTGTCTGCACACATGAAGCAGTCAGTAATGTATTCCAGTCAGCTATGAAGACGAGAGTGAAAATGTTATTAACTCTGTGTTTTGTACATAGACTGCACAACAACACATTGTCTGGCTGAGCATACAGTGGATGAATAGTATTGCTAACAATAAAGGGTGGTATATGCATAGCAGACATGATGACTGTTTCCATCTGTCTGCAGAGATCTAACAGACTTATTGAGTTTATCTGGAGCCTTCAGCTCAGAGTTCAGAGATCCAGAAGAGCAGCCCTGACTGATTATGTAGAGAATGTAATGTATAATGCAACTGTCACTTATATAATATTGAGAAGTCAGTTTGTCAGAGCTGCAGTGTTTGTTGATGTAAATTTGAGTAGTAAATCAACAGGTTTTCAATAATTATAGCAGCTCTGCAGACTTTCTTATCATGAAATCTACTGCACGCTTAAGCAATAGAAAAGAGGTATCAGCTACAACACTTGTAAATGGTTGTTGTGGTGTTTTTTTCTCTTCATCATCTATGGCAGGATCTCTAAAAACATTTCTGGACTGCTACACTATTTTACCTTTAGCCATGCTAGGTGTTGGGCTCTTTGCTATGTCCATTGGTCTGTCCATTGCTTGGTCCAAAGTGAAATATCTTATCCTATTGGATGTATTGATATGAAAGTTGGTACAGACATTCCTGTGATATCATTCGTACCCAGAGGATGGATCTTAACGGCTTTGTTCTTGCCCTGCCTTTTTTATGTCAATTTGTCCACCATTTGAGTTCGTGACAGGACACCTTCAGAAAAACTATGACTGAATTCCTTGCATGTTTTAGTGATTTACTACTGAACTAATGTTAAGAGCAACTGGTAGCCAGTCTAAAAATCCTGCTTGCACTGACAATTAGTGGTGACAACACAACATCACAACTGTGTGTGGTGACAAGTACAACAGACCACACCTGACCACACCCACCTTTGTAGTTGGAAAGAGACTTTTCCGTTTCAGTCATTGACAGCAGTGTAGGTATGTTGTTCTTACTTCCAAAATCTAGTGTGTGACTGTCATACTCTCTTTCATATTTTTTTCATATTTTAGCATGTAGGTCTACAGTCAACAACCATAATCTTGACTAGAAATCAGCACAGAACTCTGTGCAGAGCAGGCGCCTTTTTCTTCACTGTATTGGAAGTATGGTTTCAGCGTGCTGTTGTGCAGCTGAGCCTGAGTACAGCTGAGGCTGACAAAATACAGCTAGAAAACCGAGCCTGACAAGCTGAGTCTAAATGGACACCTCACAGAGGATGAACCCTTTCAATGTAGGCAACAACATGGCCTTTGCTCTGGTGTCACTATCTGGCAAATCTTCAAAACTTTTACTCCACTAACAATCGAATAATTGAGAAGTTTTCCTGTTATTATTATAATTTATTTTGTCAGTTTTTGAGCATTTTGGTCTTTATCTTTGGGGCTAAGCAGTCATTCCTAACAGGCTTAGATTATAGTGTTTGTTCTTGCAGCCAACTTAAAAAAGCATAATTTACTTTAATTGTACAGCAGACACACACTGTTTGTCTTGCCTGTTGTTAGCACTGACTTTTCTTTCCTTGTAAAGTTTAAAGAATGATCACCAGTAAATTACACATCATAAGAAATGAGTAAAGAACACAGTTACATGGATATTCATCCTTCTTGTTCTGTCAGGCATAACTAGACACATAATGGTAGTCGAAGGCTAAGCTGAAGTTCACTGTCAAGAGCAGGTTCTTAACAATTACAAAGTTCAGATCTAACGAACAAATGAGATGAGTTTGAAAAGGTATTAGAAGAAAAAGAGATGTGAGTCAGGTGGATGGATAATCACACAGCTTTAGCTTTCAATAAGCTGCTTTTGTGGAATGTACTCATTCAAAGGATCCATATTAGATTTGAGGACTTTAATGAAAGGATTAATTCAAGGCCTCCTGTCAGACGTAAGCAAATTAAAGAATTCATCGTCTCATAAAACAACCAATGAGTCTGTATATTGAAATGTGCGATGCATTACCGTCTTGGATTCATATATGTGCATTTTCTGATCGTATTGGTGGAAAAGCAGTGATTTGGGTCTGACAGGTGGAGACTCATGGGAGCTTTAATGTCTCTTATTCAACCGATCATAAGTTCCGTCTATTCATATACGTCCACTGGTGACACTGAGCAGATAAAAGCTTGGCTGCCAGCATGATGATGCGAGCCACAGTCTTCACAAGTTAAACACATTATTAGTAAGTGGGTACATTATGTCGGTCTGTTAATGTTGTTTACATTAATGAAGCCTTGCACTGTATATACATTCACCGCAGTGCTCCCCGAGTCATGAAATAGATTATTAACCTTCTCCTCATGTGGGTCTATTCACAGATCCCAGAAAACCACAAGAAGGGATAGATATATTTATGATAACTCAGACATCAGGGAACTTTGTTGACCCATCAAAGCTCATTTAAACAAAGTTAAAGAATTTAATCCACTTATAGCTATGCCTGGCTTTCCCAATGATAAACTGAAAAGACACCAAGCAACATCCTTCTGTTGTTGTTTTTGTTACTACTTTATAACTTGCTTTGTGTTCCTGTGATCATGAAATCACAACTTAAAGGAATCGTTCAACAATTTCGGAAACACACTTATTTGACTTTTTTTGTGTGATGAGATGAGAAGATTGATATAACTCTCATGTTTGTGTGTTGTGTATGGCGCTGGAGTCAAAACATGGTTAGTCTAGCTTAGCATAAAGACTGGAGGCAGGTAGAAACAGCTAGCCTGGTTCTGTCTAGTAGCTTTTACATTTCTCTTTCAGTTCAGATTGAGAAAATTAAATGTTTTAATTACTGAGCTTTAGAGGTGCTGTTAGGTGTAGCCTATTAATTTACTTTGGACAGAGCCAGGATAGCCTGCGTCCAGTCTTTATGCTAAATCAGGCTAAACATAAAAAAAGGCTAACTTTATGTACTGTAAATCCAAGGATCAAGTAGACACCGAACTAATCACATTTTCTTTGGGAAGAGCAGTAGAAAACTGTAATGATATAAAAAGAGATGCAGTCTTGGAGTGTCAGAAAATCCTGCAGAGATGTATAATAATTAACATGGTGCTCACCTTGCTGGCTCCTGGCAGTAGGTGCAATTTGACATAGGGGTCGGAAAGCCCATTGTGGTCCATCGGCTTGAGACCCTGTGAATTAAACACGACAAGTCATCATGAATCATGAACATAGAAAATTCTGAAGTCTAGTCTATGTCTTGTCTAAACACCCTCATTAGCAGCTCCTAGAGACAGCAATGTTAATTACACCTCACAATAAACATTTAATTTCATCTTCTGGGACCACAAATAGCAAATTTAATTTAAAATCTGCCCATCAGATCTAATATCTTGAATGCAAATGAGACAGCTTGACAATCTGATAGTGGCACAAAAGGAAAACTCATGCACTGTCCAAAATAGAAAGGTTGCATCCTCTGGAGACCATAATGTGCTCAGTCAAATTCATGACAATCTGACAACTGGGATTTGGAATGAGAATGTTGGCCTGGTGCACAAGGAAAGGTAAGGGGATTAAAATTCATCATATTGTCATCGTGAACATCAACATCAAATTTAATTAAAATCTAGAGACTTCCTGCTGTGGACCAAAGTGTTGGATGCATGGATAGACGGCACTGCTCATCAATCAACATCAACATTTTGAACCTATTATTTTACCCAATAGTTTTCAAGATATGTGTTGGTCAAAGGAAAATTTTAACCTGACAGCACTAAACAAACGATCATGGGATCATCATCATGGGAAATAATCTTCGGGAGAACTTGAATATTCACAATCAATCCAAATATGATAGAAAACATAACATACAAACAGCATCAGCATCAAATTGAGCTGCATGTAGTCACCATCTAAACTACTTTAGGTTAATTTTTCACACAAGTTGGGTCTTGCTTTGCACTTGCCATTTAGATCTGCATTGAACACTAACTTGTCTAACAAGGAGCAACTCAAAGTGTGAGATCCGCAGCATGTGAAGTCCGTTAAAAATATCAGCAGTGTTGCCCTATTTCCAATTTTCTTCAACATGTTCTCCTCCTACAATGTTTGTATATACTCCACATGCTACTTCTTCAATGGTTCAGTCAAATCTGTGTCACTGAAGTGAATGAGGCATTCAGTAAAGTACCACCCTCAGCTGGAAAGATCAACACTGAAGTGAATAGGGGAACTAACCGAAAAAAGGAGGTTTTTATATTCCTTTGAAAAGCAAATCAATGACACTCAAAGGGAATAGGATGTAAAGGTCACTAATACAATGACCAAATAAAACAACACCATGTGGGTGCCCACTGAGTAAAGTAAAGTGAAAGGACCTAAAGGGTTTTCAGAGAAATAAACAGAAGAACTGAGGTAAACTGCAGCTGGGAAACCTCAATCAACATATGTAATCATAAAAAAAGGGACTTATAGGTTTTGTTTGCTTTTCTTTGCCCATGTGGTGTTACGAGATTTTTCAGGTTGCCAACTCCTTTCAAGGTAAAAGCTGAAATTTAATCCACAAATGAGTATGTTTTATAGGCTGAAGATTAGTGTGGGCCATTATCATATCATCGCTGTCAGGTCAATGTTCATCAGTGTTGCTTTAGCTTTATGAAAGTGACTTTTGACACTCTACCTACATGTTCAAAATTTTTTCATAAGCCAAAAATATGTGATCATTCAATACCACTTTAAAAACATGAAAATCACTAAAAGTAATGTTTCAAGGTTTTGATATGTACTGTATTTTAATTGGTGTCACAATGCCCGTCAATGTTCTTCTCTTCAGCCACATCTCCACTCTCACATGCCCCATTGATGTTATTCTTTACCTGGCCACCAGATGCCTTCAGACGTTTCTCCTGTTATTACATATTATGCCACTCCCATCTGCTCTGCAATCACCTCAGCTGGCCTTCCCCGCCCACCTCCTCACCTGCATCAGCCACTCTGTACATATACAGTCACAGATCCTCTGTCCCTCAGTCAGTTAGTCTTAGTTGCGTTCTTGTCTTTGCTGTTGAGTGTCTGTCACCTGGACCTGCCTGTAAGCTATCTCCAATATTAAATTACTAATATCATCCTGCCTTCTTGACTGTCTGCATTTGGGTCCATCCCTTGTTGCCACTCTCCCATACAATTGTGATAATTGATATGTTAATCATACATATCAATATGACAAATGTTGTGAACAATTATAAATGATAAATGAGTTACTATTACAGAAATTGGTGTTTGGTTTGAATTAGAGTAAGCAGAGTTGATGCACAAGTTCTTAAAATAAATTCTGTTCAAATGTCTTAAATGACAACAACAATTATCACAATGTGTCCAAAATGAATAAATCGAAGATTGTGTGCTGTTTGGTCTTTAAAGGGTTCCTTCCAGAAAGTGGAAGGAAAGGGTCAAAAACCAGCAGAGGCAAAGATGTTCTGACTTTTGATCAGAGTACTGTCCATGACTGAACTGACCTTTATGTGCACAATTAGTAGAATACCCTTTAATGGGGCTCCCCAGTGATTTAGTATTGCAGTCCCATAAAGCATGGGGACTCATGAAAGAGAGAGAGAGAGAGAGAGAGAGAAAGAGAGAGAGAGAGATTTAAAAAAAAAACAAAAGACTACTCAAAAGTGAAGTAGCAGATGTAGAGATTTCCCTGACTTTTAGTCTTAATTATGGGGAAGAAAAAACTGGTTCCTACAATTCTCCTAATACAACTCAATTGCGTCTTTCATTCAGGGATGCAAATTTAAATGTCAGACCAATACTCTTAAACCAATAGATATTCAATTTGTACAGGTAACAGTGAACATTTAGCCTTTAGTTTCTATGAGTTTATTTTTTTGAGTAAGTCTTTATTTACATAGCCCAGTCTCACAAATAGTCCTCAGTATACGACATCATCTATCCTTAGACCCTCTATTCCGTTAAGGTAAAAGAGGACTAATTGATCAACAACTTGTTTCGTCCCGAAGTTCATTAGACCCACCATGTCTCTTAAATGGGCACTTCTTCCAAAGCCCCCTCAACTCGAGTTTGTAGTAGAGGCTTTCTTCCCCCACCTTCTTTAGTCAACAGAAACAGAACATACAGTATAACACAATAGACAGACACCATACAGAACATATAGAGGAGCTGAGGTGAATGTGGGAGTAGGCTATGTGTCAGTGGATATAGAGTGTAGCTAAATATGTAAAGAAGAAGACATAAAATAATGTATGAGGGTGAAGAAAGTGGGTTAAAGGGGCCAAATGCAGAGGGGAAACATGATATAAGGTTACAGTAAGATGGACTAAACTGCTCCTGTATCATTTTAGCTGGATGTACTGTCTGTATATGCCAACTCTCAGACAGCCTGCCCCTCACTCTGCAGGGGCTTCAGAATTGACCGTGTTAGAGAAATGATTTCACACTTTTTATATTTAAAATATCTTTCATATTTATTTGGTGTGTCAAGGAGAGCACACGGAAATGTGACAATGTTTAAAATATTGTGTAGCAGAATGCAGCGCTATTCTTTCTTCTTGTACATCGTATGTTTAAGATTTGAGAGAAATCACAGCCAGCCATGAAGCTGTTGATTTAGAAACGGCATCTAATTTCAGTTTAAGATCAGCATTTTTTGTGGAGGTATTTCCTCACGCAGTAGAGACAGTTGGTTGTAAATCATTCTCCCTGCACTGTATTTTAGTAATACTATAGAAAAAGTGAGAGATGTGTCCCTGTCTGTAGGCAAGTAGATTTATTTTATTTTTATTTTTTTATGGCTGCACTGTGTGGAATTCTGGTCTATTGAGGCTTCTGTCAGTGGGAAATTGTTATCTGTGCCTCTTTGTCAATTGAATTCACCCTGTGTGATTGCTAAAGAAACTGTTGTCTTGATTCTCAGGGTGCACAGCAGACACAGAAATGCAGTATACTACAATTTGTCGCAAAATGTTATAGTTTTTTGAGCAGCAGGGGGAGCTTTTCATGGTGGCTTCAAGAACAGTAGTGGTTGTGTTTGCTTCGGTAACAAAATCATGCAATCAATATTAGATTAGATGTCATCCTCAGTGTTGTTGGAAAAGGCAATGGTAGAAAATATTTACCACCTGTACTAGTTTGTCCACTATGGTTTGCAATGTGTTTCGTGGATAATTGAAGCAAATAATAAATGGAAGGTTTGAAATTATTAGAGCTGACCCAAAATAGTCGAAGATTCGATGCTTCGATGGGCGGAGCCTGATTCGACTGTCAATCTCACAGTCGAAGCTACCAGTTTTCTCCCAATAAGTTAATATACAGCTTATTAACAATAAACATTTCAGTGTTGAATGCTGAATAAATCAAAAATTTTAACCCAAACCCTGGGTCACCAGTGCGCATGTGTAGGCGTAGCGTCTATGAGTGTACTGGCAGAAGAGGCTCTCACTTTATCTTATATGACCAGTCACTTGTTACTGCAGCATTCCACAGACAGGAACACACACAGTAAAATTAGACATCCTGGATAATAAACCATATATACAGTATATTAGCACACAGAATAAAGAATAATAAGGCATAATAACCCAGTGGCTTTACGATCTCACAATACAAAGATTTCATTTCTCATCTGGCAAATAATAAAGATTCCACACATCACTGAAAACAGCCATCATGCAAAAAAAATATTCTTTACAAGCTTAGTGCCATTATTTTAATTGTTCCCTGTCTTTATGTTCTCTCTTTAATGGACCAAAAAGGGAAAAACAAAACAAATATGACGTCTTTTCACCCACAATTATCAGGCTTAATAGAGGAGCTCGGCTCAAAGCCCAGCACTCAGCAGGAATTACTGGCAGCAAAATGACACACTCAACTGTGTCTCTAATAACACACTGCTGCTTTAGATCCTGTCTGCAGAAAATACAACCATAGTGACACTAATTTCTTTAGCGGACTCTCTAAACATGTCCACATTTTGAAAGCACATCCTACTGTGTCTGACATTTCAAGGGAGGACACTGAAGGTCCAGACAGAGACATTATGAAAAACAGACAATTAAATCAGTTTATGAGGAAATACTGACTAGATGAGAGGTATTCTCTCTGGGTCATTTTGTTTTCATTTAGGTTAGGTATGTGACGGACAAGTATGTCTACACAAGTAAGACTTCAGCAG